GACTAGTTACACAATATGGGATCAACAAGAAAAGATTTTTAGAACATCAACAAATTAAATCCATAGTAAAAAGAAATTTAAACCCAGTCAAGTTGAACAACAAACACCACCAAGTGTGGTTCTGTCATGGTCGGACGGTCCTTCCCCTGTGTGTGTGTGTGTGTGCTTCTCTCTCTCTCCTCCTCCTCCACCCAGCGGCTGACACACCTGCACCTAATTTGCCACCCAGCTGTCACTAATCATCCTTCGTCGTGGTCTGAGGTATTTAACTGTGTGTCCAGATGGCAGTCGACGCTGGATTGTACTTGAAGCTTGGTAGTAAAGAGTGTTTTGTGACTTGCAACTTAGCTTTAGCCGGCTAGCCTTCTTTCCTGTTGTTTTCACTCGTTTGTAGGAGGAAGAGATACGGAGCAGGAGGTTGGAGAGAAGGAGCCCGCGGGATTAAGCTATCGGAGGAGAACACACACTTGGATTATCACTTTGAAAACTCACCTGCACACCACTGGGAGTTTGGAGAAGATCACTGTTGGACTCTGCACTTCACTTTGTGTTTTGAGACTGTTTTTGGGGACTGTAAATAAACGCTCTGTGTGCTTTGCATCCAGAGCTCCGTGACTCAGTCCGTATTTTCCCATTACCCGTGACAGGTTCAATTTCTTACTCTTAAAACCCCCAAATTACTATCCAAATTATACAGAATGCTTTCTAAAACAGATGAATCAATATCACTTCCTATTGCAAAATGGGAAGCGGATTTATCAGTTAACTTCTGGTCTCAGATTTGCTTAAAAACCTTTCATCTAATCAGAAATCCCAGTCTTCAATTAATTCAATACAAAATACTACATAGAGTGCACTATACAGGTCATCGGATGTTCAAGATGGGTTATACGTCTACCAACAACTGCTCACACTGTCAAACCAAAACACCGGACAATTATATCTACACTCTTTGGTTCTGTCCACCAGTTCAGAAGTTTTAGCGCGAGATATGTGAAGACTTATCAAAGTGTCTGAAATGTAACATTCCAACTTCCCCCTTAGTGTGTTTGTTGGGCAGCTTAGATAATGTCACCACAATCACCCACACATGCAGGGCCTTGG